ATACAATGTTACTATTTCCATCCAATTAAATTAACGTTGTTTGTTTGTTTATTTTTTTGCGATTTTGAATTATACATAGTGCAAGTGTAAAATTATCACTATTAAAATTTTATTTTTTAAAATTTAAAAAAAAAAAAAAAAAACATGTCTAGTGAGTAGTGAATGTTAAATCTTCTCTCTCAACACATTTTGTAGACCTTCTTCTCCTCAATGGTAGTCGCAAGCACCTCCATCGCAAAGAATCATCAATCCTCCAAACCAATGAAAGAAAGCTAACACTTGTCCAAATTCTTGTAGAACTCTTATTCATATTACAATACTAAATAAGTCCACATAGAATTTTAATTAGTTAAAAAATATTGTTCAACCATCACTCCCATGCAGAGGGGCAACTCTATACTATATTAAACTAAATCTAATAGAATCACAAAGCAACACCCTACCGTATATAAAGATCTAACATTTTCAAATTTCAAACATCATCAAACCAAATACCTTATATTTGGAATAAATAAAAAAAATAAATAAATAACAAAAAACAAAAGAAATATTGTTTACTATACAATATACAAATATAAACTTCTACTCCTCAAAGTTCGTAAAGAAATTCATACAAACAAATAATAGAAAACCACTAACAAGTAGTTCAAACTTCAAACTTAAAAATGAGTAAAATGTTTTGCAATTCATCAATGTCATTCTCAAACACAAAATCGAGACCTAAAATTAATCAAATGGGCATCGAAATGAATTACAAATAAGAAATCACTCAAAAGATGACGTAAGACCTTAGACTCAAACAAAGAATCAGAGTGGTTGATATTACCATATAAAAATCACGAAAGTATAAAAGTATTTTTGGGGAGGCAAAGAAAATCCAAAATTGGAAGTAAGACGTAGAATAAACAGAAAAATGACATTTGGAAATCTAAATGGGAGGTGTGGCAAAGATATGGAGACGAGTGGGGAACGTGCGATCAACCATGGTAGATCGAATTCTTTGTGAAGCACTTCCTTAAAAAACAGGTTTAGTTTAACCCACATTAATGCATAACTCTTTCTGCCATAAAAGATGAAAGTAATTAATTTTGTAAAAAGTTTTGCTTAAATAGGCCTAACCTCTTTTTTGCACCATCAAATTTATGAAAGTATCGAACAAAAAGCAAGGTTAGACTAGGTATATTATTCTATATAGATAGTATTGATTAAGTAAAATAGTATGTGCATAAATAAAAAAACTAATTTCTATACTATAACCTATCATAACAATGCAAAGCTCACCAAAATAACATATTGGTTTTAAGGTTAAACTAGTGCAAAAAAAAAAAAAACATTTTATGACAGAGATTTTATGTCGGGTGTAATCCATACGACATAAAAATTGACATGGTACAAAGTTGTAAATATGACAACTTTTTACACCAAGTGTTGTTTTACCCATTATAGAAAGTCAATTCTATGTTGAGTGTCATTACACCTATTATATAAAGGTGTAATGACATTCAACATAAATAAAACTTTTTATGACAATTGAAATAGCATCTGACATAAAAAATTCTTTAAAATTTCAAATTGAAAACGTAGTTTGCGTTTCAAACTCTTGTTTTTGGTTTTGTCTTCTTTTCTTCGCCGTCTTCCTTCTTCCACATTTAGGTAAATTATTTTCTTCTTTTACTTTCTTTTTTTGTGTTTTATGTTGTTATTGTTTAAATATTAATAATGTGGTGATTTCAAAATAAACATGGTAGTGTTAAAACACAAAATAAGGTGACTGCAAAATAAGATGCGAGAACAAGAGAGAAAGAGGAAATTGTGAAGAAATGCAATGATAGAGAAAGAGTATGAATGTGAAACATGAAAAGGTGCAACAAAAGAGAAAGAGTGTGATGACAAAATGTGAATAAATGTAACAACGAAAAGGAAAGAGCGACGCACTGACAAAATACAAAAAGATGCAATGAAAAAGAAATAGCACAACAGAGAAACATTTGTTAACCTAACAAATTAGACTTTTTTATGTTAGTTATGTTTATAATCGACATAGAAAGCAAATATTTTTTATATTAATTATTTTTATAACCAACATAAAAAGTCAAAACTTTCTATATTGTTAAAATATGTGATGGGTCTAAAATTGACATAAAAAGTCATTTTTACTTGTCATAAAAAGTGTTGCATATACTAGTGTTATCAATTATCATTGTTCATTGCAATTTATACTCTCAAAGTCTTATATACACCGGACATCATTCTAATTATATGATAAGAGTTTAAGAAAATATTGCTTATGTCAAGTAACAAACTTACATATTATAAAAGCTAGCTTCATTTAAGATCAAGCCTATAAAGCTTGAATTATGATATTTGTAACAACAAAATAAAAGGAAAATGACAATAGCAAATACATTATATACGTGTAGACTACATATTACATAAATTATTCAACACAACATGAGGAAGAGAAATAAAACACAAATTAACACTAATTATCGTTGATCACAACAAAAACATGAAAATATATATTTGAGAATCATATAACAAAAATTGTGAGTTATAATTAAATTCATGTTTATATCCTCAACAAAAATTATATAACTAAATTACAACCAATTATTAACCCAAAACAAAGGGCTTCATGAAAAATGAATTATAAACAAAGAGATTACACACAATACTTTTGATAAATTATAGCTTACTAAAATATTCGATAAAAGATGTGAAACCATGAAATGCATTTTAAATTAAAGCACTGTCATTTTATTTGTCGACATCTCCTTTGTTATACACTTATCTACTTGAAGGTGTTGGTAGATAGGTGAAAAAAATAAATATTAGAAGTGGCAAGTAGTTTATGGAGATCCCAATAGTGTCAAATGCATGTTTCAATTAACATCTTAAATTACAATGATACAATTAGAAAAAATTACAGTAAATGTATGAAAAAATGAACAAAAAAAAAAATAATGGAGTTATTTTAGGTGAAAGAAGGAGAATGAGGGAAAAAGATAAAGCTTGTAAAAGGAGGAAGCATGAAATTTTAGAAAAAAGATTTAAAAAAAGTAAAGAGTAGAGAGATAGATGATGGGGGAAGAAAAAAAAAAGAGACACTAAATTACTAGAATAAGAATGGTCTTAAGTGAGAAAGAATTAATGATGAAAAGATATAAAAATAAATAAATAAATGAGTTTGGTCGGCTTAATATAGAGAAATTCCTAAAAATGCTATTATACATGATAATATATAAGGATGAATTTGATAAATTTTTAAAATGTTGAATTTAATTTAGAAATAAATATGATAAATATATATTAAAAATAAATTAAAAAATTAGAAAAATTCCTAAAAACTCTTTCATTAAAGAAAAAATTTTCTAAAAATGCTTTCATTAGAGAGAAGATTATAGAAACACCTTCTCTCAAGCAATATAACTAAATTCAATAGATAATTAACAATATAATCTAACATATTATTTAGGAGTGTTCATGGATCAATTTAGTTTAAATTTGAGGTAAACTAATAAAGTTTGAACCAATCAATTTTGATTGATTTGGTTTGAATTGAATTTACTAAAACAATCTTGTGATTTGAATTAAATCAAACCATAAGTTGGTTTGGTTCAGATTAATCGATTTTCTTAAAAAGATGGTAGATATTTATTTTTTAAAATATAAAAAAATTATTTTATCTTAAAATTTAAATAAAACATATTATTAAAATAGTATAAATAACATTCAAGTATAAATAAAAATGTAATATAAAAAAATTAAAGTAGTCAAATATAATCTATTTTAAATTAAAGTATTCCAACATTTAAAGTTAAAGTAGTTCTTCAAACATAACTAAACATAACTAAATTGTTTAAATCACAATTATTATCCAAGTAATATTCATGTATTATTCATAACACCACACACCTATTAAATTATCTCTTTTTATTTTATTTATAATTTTTAAAATTAGGAGCCACAAAGTATTTTTTTTCCTTTACTACTGTTAACATATTAATTATAATAAAATAATAAAAATAATTTTAATTTGTTTGATTTTCATATGATCAAAATTATAAAGTATAAATCTATTATTCAAAGTCTGAATGAATTTAGATCGAATTTAATCTAATAAAAAAATCAAATCAACTTAATTAATTTAATTAAAATTAATTTTATAATGATTTAAACTTACAAACACTCCTAATATTATCTAACTCATTTTTGTTGATTATATTTTTAGGAGAGTGAAGTTCATTAGTTATCAACAAAATAATTTAAGATATTATTTAACCAACTAATATTTTTTGATTAAGAAGAGTGAAATTTACGTGTTAAAAGTAATCAACAAAATACTTTTATTAAAAGGCTCCCAATTATTTTTTATATAATAATATAAATTATTTATCATAAAATAAAAATATAATTTATATAATTAAATATTTATTATATAAATTTTAATTACAATGAAAAAAGTACTTATTTAATATTTTTTT